TTTACGCTTGAAGCTGGAAAAAATATTGAAGTAAGTAAAACATGAAAAAGCTACCAAGGAGTTAATCATACGTAGAAGTAGGATACCATAAGTCGAAAAGGGACATACAACATCAAAAGCAGAAGGACTCGCATCAGCTAAGGGCACACAACACTATTAGTCGAAGAAAGGCACACCACATAATTCACCAATGCAAAGAGAAATATAAGTCAAGAAAAAAACTACCTTTAAAACTAAAGATTGAGGAACACGCCCCCTATACAAAGGGATCATTTCATATGCTCAGATAGAACAAGCACCCTCCACAAGTGCTCCCGTTATATTGCTAATTACAATTTGAATGTGGTGATTAACAGATGGTTATTTATTATACATTGAATATTTCCATCTTTTCTCAGTCAATTCTACTTCCGATTTCACATCTTTTTGCATGTTAGATTCTTCTTCTCCCACTGTATTATTACCTTAATTCAAAGGTTGTCTCTGTTATAAGGTTATCTTTCTCTAGTCCCGAAGTTAACCTTTATATAAAGGCCAAACTGTACTGAATTGAACATATATAAAATGCGATTTATGGAAAAAGAGAGAACCGAATAGTAAAAAGATGTTCAGGAAACGGAAAAGTGAAATTGTAACAGCAAAATCCGGAAAAAAGGTTCGGCAAAAAATGTTATGAGAATTTTACTCCCAAAATGGAATACTGAAAGGTTAAAGTGTCGATGTTATAATATAAACAACACATAGCTGAGAGTGTTATAGAGCGGATTATTATTCCAAGAAAAAATAGTCAATCGAGGTGAAGATAAGGTTGACAATGTTTTTTTTTCGAGGGGAAACAATCTGCTCTGTAACCCTCTCAGCTATGTGTTATTTAATCTATTATACTGAATGTTCTTTCATTATCATCTTTTGAATTTTAAATTGAAAGTAATTGACTATGACGTCATGTACATTACAACATTACAGTTATTAGAAAGACAACAAAAGTTAAGCAAAACGTAATTTTTATTTTTACAGTCTACGGAAATGTCTGAGGCCAAAACTTAGAACTTGATCATAGTCTTTAAAATTATTGATGTAAATTCAATTCATTGTCCTTTAATTATCGATTTTCCATTGGTCTGCACGAGAAGGAGACATTTAAAAAAATGTCTCACGCTGAGCCTTGGGATAGAGTAAATTATCTCCCTCGTATTAGTCAATCAAAATTAAGCATTTTGACGTGAAGTAAAATAACAGTAATTATTATTAAAGCTCTATTGCCAAATAAAAATTTGAAATAAAAAAAAACTTAGAACTTTCATTGTCTTACAGTAGCTGGAGAGCTGATCTATTTTTCACGTGCATTTTACGTGAAAGAAAATCTGCAAACAAACATTGATTAAAATGTACCTGTATAAATGACAATTTTTCCATTTGTATACGGCATTTACGTTAATATAGATATTATATATTTGAAACACGTAAAATGGCAGCAAAATGGATTAAAATTCAAGTTCTTTATCGATGTTTTCCTTTCTCTCCTTTATTTTTTCTAACATACTCCATTCTTAATGAGATCTGATGAATAGGCATATACAATCCAATATAAGGTTAGGTCGTATCAATTTAAAAAAAAAACATGGCTGATAAGGAAACAAAAAGTGACGGTAGCAGCCGAGATTTAACTATCTGGCCCGATTTATCGTTTGGTTTTGTGGAATCTGATATTAAAAAGAGTTCACAGAGTCTTGGCCTTAAAGAGATGTCCAAAGGCTACACATATTTCTCTGAAAAATACGTAACAAAATTTCTAGTAGGTGTTCAACTGCGTAAACTATCAACTGATCAACAGATCAAGAAAAAAAAAACAGCTTTGGAGTCGTTTCCAGTACAGTTCACCCATAGTCGTTTCGGCCACACTTTTTCACATTTTTTAAAAACATATATATGCATGAATTGTTTTGACTAAAAATTTTTTAAAAGGAATGTTTCTTAACAAAAAGTGTTTGTCATAAAGTGTGCATCTATTCTGAAACAAGAGGACACAATAATGTCTTTAACTGTCACACATGATTAATACATTGAAAACGTTTTCATTTTAATTTGGTACTTGATTAAAACATTTTTTTCTGACAGAAAATAGAAAATAACAATGTCATTCGTGGACGAAAGAAAGAATACCCAGTCAAAAAATTGAGAATTACTTTAAATAATGATTACCATTAAACGAATATTCTTATAACATTCATAATACTAGATACACTTTTATCAATGAGTATAAGTGTATGATTAAAATGTATTTTCCATTTGTTTCTTAACGTCTGCTTCTATGAAACAATTATATTTTTCTCCCTTCAAAACAATAAAAAGCATGACTGAAACGACTTTACAGAATATGGTCGAACTGACAGTATGGCTGAAACGACTATGACCAAAATGGCAGTGTGGCCGAAACATTTTTGCATCGAGAAAACAAAATTAAGGATATCTTTAACACTGTACAACCCAATCAAATCACCACTTCCAAATGTAGATGAGTTTTGCCCTCATTGGCAACAGTTGTTTGCTTCTGTCTGTCATATATTTGGAGAGTAGGCCTGAGACCGTTGAAGCCAAGTTTGGTAAATTTCCTAAAGGATCACCCGCAGGCGGTGCAGCAGAAGATGTCTAGTCATTATGTTCTAAATATTCTTGATGCACCTGAATATCCTACATTACCTTTAACAAATTTGATGAAAAATACTGTGTGCACAGTACTTGATGAAAAGAAAAGTGTGGCGTTAACTTTTATCAGTGTTACAAGCCTATTGGTGGGTCTCATTGGGGTCTAAGCGTGACCCAGGATTGCCGATTTTTTGTAATCGTGACACGTGAAAGTCAAATTATTGTGCCGTGAAAACGGGAAATGAAGTCTAGCGGGACACGGGAAATTATGAAAAAAATGAGAATTGCTTACGTTCATATAGTCCAGTCATCTATGGTTATACCTCAAACTAATTGCAACAGAAATGTTTTTGCGGAATTCGTGAGAGATATAACGTATAAGAAACATATTAAAAATCGAGAAAAATCGAAATAGGGGAAAGTCGTCAATTTTGGCGAAAAAAAAATCAAGATTTTACTTCAGATATTATGGAAAGATATGGCGCCCGTAGATTGAGAATGACGATATGGGAGGCAACTTGTAATGGTCAACTGCAGACGACGCATCTAGTGTCCATCCTTTTCATTCTGGTAAGTAAATATAAGACTTATATATAAAAGTTTTATATGTATTTAGAACTCTTAAGAGTAAAAGCTGTCATGCAAGGTTTGTTTGGGTGATTTTGAAAGGCGTAAATACACGGGAGACGGCAAAAAGTAGTACAGGGCAGAAATGAGTTCATTTCGGTTTGCCGAGGTCTCTAAATCACAAATCACGTGTAAAACAGCTCTGCTTTTTATATTTGGACTAAATTATATACATTTCATATATAAATCGCCCCGTAAAAAAGAAATTTTAGTCTACTGCCAGGAGTTGCTGACGAAAAAAAAAGTATGAAACGCCGTTAGTGCCAAAAAGGTTACAATCCAACAAAATTGAATTCATGGAAAAAGGAAGTTGTACTGATAATAAAATTTAAAAATCGATACAGACAAATTGTTTTACCAAAATAAGATGAATATTTATTAATCAAATGATAAAGGGACATTAGAATTGTCCAGTTCAACAAAGCTACCATTATACAATTTAACTGAGCTACCATGCACCAAGCAGGGGAAAGGCACTCTATCAAACTTCATATTACATTTTGGGACAATTTTTATTACTGTTGTTTTTCTGTGCATACATCAAGCAGGTATTTAACCCGAAAATTCATACTTTGCCGCCAACATCAAATGCGGCTTCATTTCATAGCCAGAGGGCTTATCTTCAAATGAAAGTGTGGATGGACAAGGACAATTTAAATCCATGTGAATGGGATTTGAAAGTCGCTAATGGATACCTTGTTCCAGTTAAGTGTACGATGGACGCAGCTCCCTCTAAATTACTCAACATTATTCAATGCAATTGTAAGACAAACTGTGACACTAAAAGATGTATTTGTAGAAAAAACGGACTTGAATGTTCAGTAGCATGTGGCGAATGTAAAGGAACTGGTTGTACAAATTCGAACAAAACAGTTGACATGGACGATTAAGTGACAATTAACTTCAAAAGATCTAGAATACACAAAAAACATAATTAGCATAGTTAAGGGGTTTGGGTAAAAATTACTACATGTTTTTGTTATCCTATAACGTAATTATTTTGGTTTCAAGAAAAAGTATCATACCGGTCAATCGGTTTTTAATGTTGTTATAAGATCTATTGACTTGACGAATTTATCATTATTTGATCTACCTCAATATCTAACATATACAAAGTAAATTTGAAGACTCATAATCTTATTTGAATTTGGTTTTTTTTAAGAAAACATAAATTCCCAGTTTTTATCGATTTTTGGCTAAAAATCTAACATTTTCACCCAAACTTTTCAACTTCCTGTACTTTGAAGTTCATCATATTTTTAAAAATTCATTGTTGAAATAAGATCTATTGACTTGATTAAAAATTATGTACGTTGCTATTTTAGTTTTTTAGTCACGGCAAATTTCGTGTTTTCAGCGATTTTTCATCAAAATCCAAGGTTTTCACCAAAAATTAACAATTTCCCTTCATCCAAACTTTCTCGATTTTTCATATGTTCAACAGTACACCAAAATCAGCTAGGAAAACTAGTTTGAGGTTTGGTCGTATTTTGGCTAGAATGACTGGACTAATAGTGTAAGCGGGATACGGGAATCTGACTTAACAGTAAGCGGGATCCGGGTTCTGAACCCCCCAATGAGACCCCCTTATTGGGGATGAAAGCATTAATATTGAAGAAATGACAAACAAAGCCATGCCCTAATTCCAATAAAACATGAAGTGCGCGTGTGTGACGTCATAATGAAATTTAACGTCAGTTGTATTTAGAACGACGTCGGAGATCAAAATGGATATTTCTGCTGGTATGTTCGCTAGGAAATTATTACAGCATTAACACATTTTTTTTCTAGAAGTTGTTGATGTGTAATAATAGAGAGGTTTAGCATCGGAACTTGTACGTGTACGTGTACTTGTGGCTAGGGAAACCCCCGATTTCCAGTGTATTACGTCATCGATTTTGCCTCGCGGTGAAACGTACAAGTCAGGGGCAACGTGTAAAGCGGCGGCTACACGAAGGTAAGAAATTGTGGCTTCTTTTTCTTAAAACACAGATATTTGTCAATAAAATTGAATATGTACAGGAACAAGAGAATGTACCCGAAGTAATACAAGTATTTTGAGCGTTTAAAACGTTTCTTTGACATCAGGACGGAACGGCAAATGTGGAACGCATTCGACGGAAAATGGCGGCATATTGAAGGTCCTACCGTTATAAAAAAAAAATCTATAATAACCTCTAAAATTATTTTATAGTTACCCTATAGTTAACATGTTCGCCGACAAATAGTTCTACAGTATAAGACTTATTTTCAAGAAGTAAACTAACTGATTTCCAGTTTGTTAAAAAGAGGGGGGCGTGAACAAATGCGTGAAAAATGAACGATGCTGTCAAATTGTTTCTTTTCCGATTGAAAGAGAGGCAAATTCAAAAGACTCTTGAAATACTCTTGCAGGATTAAATTATCAAGGAGAAGACACGCTTTTGGTGCTTTAAATATATTTTATTTCAGTGAAAAAAGGGGGGTGGTCAACAATTTTTGTAACTCTTGAAATATGTTTGTTCCTTTTTAGAAACTTCAAATATGACATCCTTCACCAGTGGCAGCAGAAAAAAAACAAGTCCGAATCCAGCCAAAAGATGACCTGGTACTGCTGAGAGAGGTCCTGGCTAGATATCCATTTAAAAATAAGTCTGCCTGGAATGATATAGCATTATCAGTAGCAGATACCAGATACCAGATCTAATTTCCAGGTTGATGCAAGACGAGTCCGGGAAAGATCACATTTGCTGATAGATCAGAATAAAAAAAACAATGCTGAATCTTTGAAGAGGTATTTATACTTTTTTAACCATTTTATGATTTCTTCAAAGAAGAAAAGTTTTTAACCCTTTTTTTCTCACCCATAACCCTCTCTCTGGACCCCTTCCACCTGACTGCCGCTTCCCTCCCCTTATTCCCAACCCTGACTACCTCTCAGAAAAGACTAATTTAAATAAGTTAGCATTTGTGTGTAGTTTTTGACAAATAAATTGGTACAATCTGAAATGTTGCAAATATGTTTTGCAATTGTTAGATTCTAATATTTTGATTTATGGTAAAATTAAGCGCTTCATGAACTGTCTTTGAAATACAAAAAATATGATGTTGAATATAATCATAACAATGTTTATATTATTACTAAATTTTAAAATACATATAAATCTAATTTATATGGGAAATATCATGAATTCCAAAAAACTTTTTTGACAAAGATTGCATGTGACGTCAGTGTTCTTGTTAATTTTAATACAGTTTTATATTATTATTCCAGTTCAGGGATTGATGAAGAGTATGGAGAGAAAGAAACTCTATTGGATGAAATTCTTTCATTGGTGGAGGATGAATAAAAACAGAAAGAAAAAGAGAAAGAGAAAAAGGAAACAGAATAAAATCGGGGAAAAGACATTAGTAAAGGAGCAATGGAAAACTTAACTCCTAAGAAAGGTACATACTTCTTATCCTATAACATGACCTATTTGTTCAGTGTTTAAATAATGGTTACGGTATCTCTTTCACAGGTTGTTTTTCTTTTTTTTTGGGGGGGGGGGGGGGGCAAGTAATTGCATGCATTTCGTCACCTTCTGGTTGCCCTGACACGAAAGTGGTCGCCTTTGGCTTGTGAAGTTTTTCTTCTTGAACATGCAAGTAAATAACAATAATTCAAGGAATGATTTTATCTCATACTTTAATACATACTTGAAAAGATTACAGAATAAAATATTTCTGAATGTTGGGAGAGTGAATGGAAATGTGGAATGTGTCAAAGTGACAATAAAAAAATGTGTATCAACATATACAGGCTACCAGGCAAAATAGCTACTAGAACTGGTGCTTGGTTTGAATTTCAAGAAAAAAATGGTAAAAGCGTAGATGGGTAACAGCGTATAGCATGTGATGATACACAGCGAGTAAAATACAGTCTAGGACGGCCCATTGGTCTCGAACGGTAAGGAACCAGCACCATCGGGGGTATAGGCTGTAGCTGGCTTGTTCCAAACTGTACATCATAAAAATGAGTTCGATCCAACATTTCATGTCTCTTCTGACTTCAGAGATGCTCGTCGAGCAATTATTTGAAAGCCCAAAACCTAATACATTTTTTAAGAAATTCTGTCTATATATTTCAAGTGATGATGAATCTAACGACGCCACCCCGTCAAAGAGAAACAGTTCTGGAAATATTGTTGGGTACTTAAAAGAAAAAAAATGAGGCCGAAATGGTATACCGAAGGCAAGAACTTGAAGTCAAAAAACAGCAACTGCAATTGGAGGAGGATAAATTCCAATTAGAGAAACAAGAAAGAATTCAAAAACTGGAAAACGACAAACAAGAAAAAGCACTGATGTTGGAGCTGTTAAAAATATGTTTAGGTGACAGACATTAAAGAGAAGACATATTTTAAATCAACAAATATTATAAATAATAAACAGCTGCGCCATGAGTGCATGATACGCTTGTCATCTTGTGTGTGAATTTTTATGCAATAAGCATAAATAGTTTCTGACATACGGCGTGACATGCGAAAACCCACTTTTTTTTTTTTACAAAAAACTCAATATCTCTAAAATAAAATTTTGAATCAAAACCAAAAAGTATACAGATCTTTAGATTAATATAACTAAGAAGTGTGTCAAATTTTAAGCAATAATCATAAATCGTTTTTGAGATACGGCGCGACATGTGAAAAACCCCTCCCCCTTTTTTTACAAAATACTCAATAACTCAAAAATAAAATTTTGAATCATCACCAAAAAGTATACAGATCTTAAGGTTAATATAACTAAGAAGTGTGTAAAGTTTTAAGCAATAATCATAAACTGTTTTTTGAGATACGGTGCGACATGTGAAAAACCCCTCCCCCTTTTTTAACAAAATACTCAATATCTCTAAAATAAAATTTTGAATCATCACCAAAAAGTATACAGATCTTAAGATTAATATAACTAAGAAGTGTGTAAAGTTTTAAGCAATAATCATAAATTGTTTTTGAGATACGGCGCGACATGTGAAAAAAAACACACACCTGTTTTAGTTACTAAGTCCCGTAACTCAAAAAGTTTTAATCCTATTTTCACCAAAAAGTATACAGATCGTTTGACCATCATAAGAAACAACTATGTTAAGTTTCATGAAATTTGGATTAGTCATTCTCAAGTAACGGTGCGACATGTTTACGCCGGACAGACAGACGGACAGACAGACGGACAGACAGACGGACGGACGGACACCGGACATTTGTATACCATAATATGTCCCGTCAAAAATTGACGGGCGTATAAAAATATATTAAAACAATTTATAGTGAAGAACTGTTTCTTATAATATTTGTAGTTTTACCCCCAATCATAAATGTTAAAAGGGAGATACTCAAATTTACTGGTTAAATAGTGCAATATATGTTAATAGTTTCTTAAGGTAGTTTGTTGTGTGGAGATGACTGATGTGCACAAAGAAAAAATCACTCTGGCAATTGTAATTTGAGAAAAGGTTGGGGCCGGGGGGTTTCCTGAATGATTGTAATCACAGTTCTAGTTTTGGATAGTGTTGTTACATGTTGCTTACTTAAGATGCTAAGCCAAGAGATAACTATCTACTACCTGTCGGAATTGTAGTATGGGTATCTTTCTATGTTGTGATGTTACACTATTGTTTCAGATGAGGGTGAAGGTTTGGTACCATTAAAACGTTTAAACCTGCTGCAATTGTTTGCACCTGTCCTTAATCAGGAATCTGATGTTCAGTAGTTGTCGTTTGTTGATGCGGTTCAAAATTGTTTCTCGTTTCTCATTTCTTATATAGATTAGACCGTTGGTTTCCCGTTTGAATGGTTTTACACTAGTAATTTTTGGGGCCCTTTATAGCTTGCTGTTCGGTGTGAGCCAAGGCTCCGTGTTGAAGACCGTACTTTGACCTATAATGGTGTACTTTTATAAATTTTGACTTAGATTGAGAGTTGTCTCATTGGCACTCATACCACATCTTCTTATATCTAATTTACTGTGAATACATCGAGCTATGAGAGTATGTCAAAGAAGTAGTACACAACTGAAATGATATTAAAACAGAAGGTCAATCAATTGACAAAAAGACAAACCTGGCAACAAGACACACAAGGACTCATAATAGACATCAATGAAAATCACGGACCATGAAAAACAGGGATGATATCAGTTGTTCCGTAACGATTATCAGGTTCTTCTCACGGAAGTCATGATCAGACACGGTACAATTAAATATGACCGAACTCATTTGATGGATAGTTGCCTCATTTACACTTAAAACACATCTTATTTTTATTGAACATGTTTAAGACCAACATCAACTCTTTATATGTTCTTCAATGAAACGTCAGAATAATTAAGCAACAACGATTATTATTTGCTATCTGGAAACATTGGAAAATTGTCAACCCAATAGGTATTCTTCTAATGTTGGTGGTGATACATCGAAAAATATTCCGGTTTCACTGCCATAGAGACATGTATGGCAATTTGTCAGTAGAACTGCTACTTTGTAATACTTTCCTACGGGCTGCAGATATAACTTTAGATTTTTCTTGCAGTCTAGAAATGCAAATAGTGACAAAACTTTCCCAAAAGCCCACTCCACACAAATGCGTACTGCTGACATTCTTTTGTTGAAAATCATTTGATTCCTGGAGATGACTCCCCCTCTGAATGGTGCTATTATATATCCATCAGTTACGGGATATGCCGGGTCAACATAGATGCAAAACATTCGCCCCTCCGGAGTTGTCATATGGACCCTCATTTGTAATAAAATGTCACTTTCACGCAACATTTCTGCGTCGTGTCGACGTCCTTCTATAGGACCAAACAAGTTTGAGATGATTCCATTAGGTGTAACAATGCTTTCAAATTTCAAGGCATGTGACCTTTTGTGGCCATTAAACACAAGTCTTTGGTTTTCCTGTGGCCTACATATTGGTCTAACAGTACCGTCGATAAAACCCCAGCAGCTATCTAAAGTCCCGTTACGATCAGAAACCGCACCCGCAAAACGCTCTAAACTTTCTTGTGAGAGTCAATTCCTGTTGAAGTCTGAGAGAAGATGACAATGATTGTCATGTAAGTAATAAAGAACTTCATTGATGATTAGAGAAAGTTCTGTTTTTGATCTGCCAAATATATATTCTAGATCTTCAAGTCGACTAGGGTAGGCAAGTCGTAATACCATGCAAAGTCCATCAATACCTCTTGCCGTGGTGCGATCACTACATACAACTTTCTCTGGTATATGCAGGGCTCGACGAAGAATTTCAATGTCATCTTTATCAAATCTAAAAAAAGATCGACACTGTTCATTTGTAAGTTTTTCAACTTCTATACTGGGAAAATGCCCTTTTCCTCTTTACATAATGACAAAAGCAGTAATTCGTCGGAGTCTTCTAAGGCTGCTAGCACTTATCAAATATACAACAAAGACATTTATTGGCAACCATTTCTTTGCTTTCAGCCAATGAGATATGATGTTGCATTACGTCATTTACACGTTCACGTATACGTGCGACTTTGCTAAACACAACGTGCATAATAAAAAAATACGTGTACGTATACTTCTATTCTACACGTACGCGTTCACGTACACGAACGATTGCTAAACCGCTCTAATAAAATAAAAATATTCACCGTGGACACATTTTCGTCGTTTTTATGATTTTCGCAGGAAGAGGGGCGTGCTTATTCCCGATGCATGTCAAGATGGGAGGAGCACGCTATTTGTTTGCTTAAACAGTGTCCATATCAACAACTCATGCGCATTTTATGTATAGATAAACATCAGCTTGGTATGTTTGCAGAGGTATATGAGAGTAAACTCGACAACATAAATGTATCAACTCTAAAAACAGTGACGTTTGAACCGGAAAAACTGGTTTCTTGACAAAGCGATGAGGAATACACGAGATTCCAATTTCGATTTTATGAATGAACTGATCCGGTTGACCTGGGGCTCATTTTTTGAAAAACGCGTCATAGGACATTGTGACTTAAAGATTGATTGATTGTAGGTCGCTTAACGTCCAGTGTCAAATATTTCATGCATGTTCGGGACGCGAACATATTAACAATAAATACAATAGGTAGGTCCTGTAATAGAGGCCGTCCGGGATGAAGGTCGGGGATATTTGGACTGCCACTTGAAAATGACGGTGAGTTGGATTTGGACAGAAATTTTGACTTGCAACTGGCCACCTACGGACCCCTCAAAGAGTTGTTGCAATAATTCCCTACGTGCAGACAGCATGGCGCTCTCTCAACACGAGACACCAGATTTAATACACCTTATAGCTATTTGTCGGCCTTTACTGGATACCACAAAGGTTCCCGTAAAATTTTGACGTCACAATAGAAAATGTCTGACGCCACAAAGGAAAAGTGATTGTTATATGACGTCAATAGTTCAATTGTCGCATATTCTCGGGTCAATTGTTGCAGATTCCTAAACAGCGATAAAGTGTATGTCCTCATTCTGACCTGAAACGGCCACACCACTTTGGCAAGGGTTTAACTGCCGATAGGAAGAAGACCTGTAGTGACCATATTTCTATACTACAGTCACACTTGAGGATGGGGAATGTGACGTAAAGATATTTTCTTCGTGACGGCAAATGTCTGCCTACCCGGAATGCGGGCCGACAAGTCTATGTTCTTTAATTCTCCTCAATGCCACGTGTTTGGTTGTGAAGTGACAAATAAATGTGTTAAATATCTTGGTTTGAGTCTGCTGAAGATCGACCGAAACGAGCACTCTACCACCGAAGTAGCTTTCTCCTTTAGGGAGTCGCACTTATATAATCGTAATATAATGGTAACAAAGAACTAAATAATATTCTAAAATCTGAGTCTTACTCACCACTTCCGTTCATAAAGTTAAAACAGACTATAGCTATTGCGGCACAAATTTTGAAATCCATTTATCCAGGTCCAAAATATGTCAGTTTTATGTAATAATGAGCTAAATTAAATGTTACTGGTCTTAAAAAACCAGTACGTTTATGGGCATTGATTCAGATAATTTCCAATCCCTTTTGCTACTTTACAAATAAAATATGTTTAAACTAAGTCAAATTATTTTTTTTTCTCTATTTCATGTCAGTTAGTAACAAGAGTTTTACGTGAATATGAGTATTTGCTTAATAGTTCTTTTTATTCCAATAAGCTTAAACAAACAATTAATTTCTTATGTCTAGAATTTCAAATAGTGTAACATTAATCATTATCGGTAACGATCCAACTGAAAATTGGTCAATTATACTGACGAATCTTTAGAAAGCAGTTATTACATAAATTTACTCATGTTTTATTATTTATTGATTCACTCATTTCTTTTTTATAACTAAGGTTGAGCAATTAATCCTTAATA